AAAATCTGATATGCACCCCCGGATATTTATTTTGTATTTTTTTTTTATTCTGGGGGATCTATAATTAAATTAACCTTAACTATATCAAGTTTACATTACATCATTTTGATTTGCTGCGTAAGTATATAGTATATAAGTACGTACATACGTATATTTTGTAACATAACGTAAGATGACAAGAATGGTATGTTATGTTACATAATCAAATAAAATATAAATAGAAAATTTTTTCTACGAATTTTTGATTTTATATTTTTTTTAATATAATCTTAACGATTATTAATTGGATCAGAAAGTCAGTTTTTTTTTCTCGAAAAAACTTTTACGACTCGGAGAATTATAAAGTTGTATTTGAGGAGTTAGTTTCTTAGTTCTAATTCAAACAGATGACCTTTGGTAATTATATATATTATTTTTTAAAAATCATGAATTGTAGTACATATTTTTATTTATTTTAAATTGTTTAAATGAATAAAAATTGTTCAGCGCAACAAAGTCCTTATTCATTTCAAGATCAATCAGATCAATCACTAACAGAATTTTCGTCGTCATCCACATTATTTTCAAATTCTGGACATAATGATATTGACGCATCATTCAAAAGTACAAGCAATAAATATGACGAAAATACAACTACGGAATATTTAAAAGTTGATATTGGAATATGTACAATTAATCATGTTGGATCGATTAAGACTATCCGAGGATATAAACCTAAAGACATCACACTTCTCTTTCGTTTTAATCAAGAAACGTTATCCCTTTGTTCAAATTCTATGAAAAATGAGATTATGATTCCGTTGAACCAATTAAGAAGCTTCAAAGTATCATCATCAATGCTTATATGTTTTCGACTTGTACCGAATTTCCAAAAAAGGGTGATTGTTTTTTTTTATTATCGTTATGTACAATTGAACAATGCCTATAATTTATTTTATTTAGTTTATTATTTTTATATATATATATATATTTTTTAAAAAAAATTAGTATTTTCGTCATACGGATCTATCATTAACTAAACCTAAAGAAGTAACTAAGGACCCTACAAATTTTAATATTGAACATGCTCTTTCGATGACACTTACACCGCTTAAGGAAGTTCAAGCAGAAACTTTGCATATTCTTGAAGCTGGAATAAATAGACTTTGGTTTGAAAAATATGAAGTCGTTAATAAAATAACATTTAAGCAAAAATGGCAAAAATGTCAATGGGTACATTTCAAAGGATTATTTCTTCATTATGATACAAAATGTAATACTTACTTTTTTTTTTTTTTAATTTAATTGATAGTACTATATAACTTGTTATCTGCCACATCAGACACGAGCAGTATATTTTCCGGACAATGAGAATTTATATCATTTTGTTGTGTATCTTAAGGGAAGGTTTAAATTTCCTATAACAAGATTAAAGTATAGATCAAGAAAAGGAGATATATGTTTGTTATCAAATGATCAAGATTGGGAATTTGCAAAAAATTCTGCTATAAAGACGGAAAATTTTGTGAGGTTTGATCTATTTATTGAATAGGAAAAATGAATTATGAAATTCATAATTTGGCATTCGAGTAAGATCATAAAGTTATGCGCGACTCTTTTTTCAAAGCCAAATTTATTGAAAAATAATATAACATATAGATTAGAAAAATTATTCCTGATTAAATTTAAGAGTTTATTCGTTATGAACTACTATGTTAAAGTCTATTAGATTTAATTATGTTAGAGGTAAATTTTATCTAAAATAAGGCTATTCTTGTATGAAAAAGATATGTACTTACGATACATGCATTAGTAATTATTATATTGATGTTAAAATTTGGACCAATTTAATTTAAAATTTTAAAATTTTGAGTGCTTTTCTTTTCGGTTATGATCTAAGACTTGATAATTAGAAGAATATACTGTAGACTTAAAAAGAGCGACAATTATTAATCCAAAATTATTGGAAATTAATAATAGAAAAAGATAAGATTACCAGGAATTCATTTGGTTACATCTATTATCCGTATTACAAGTCACTCTCGTTATAGTGAACTCTCGATATAGTGAAGATCTTGATATAGTGAAGAATTTTTTTTAAATTCATTGCCATTATTATTAACTTTTCTCTCGATATAATAAAGTTTATATAGCATTCTCTCGATATAAGCTATAGTGAAGATTTTTTTTCTCAGCCCGATCCCTTCACTATAACGAGAGTGACTTGTATCTGTAAAGAATGTGTTTAATTGCTTAAATACCTTTTACCAAAAGCAATCTACCAATGTTGCAATAAAAGATCAAGGTTTTTGATGGCCTTAAAATATTCCCAATTGACAATTTCTATTATTATCATCAAGATATAAAAAAATTTAATTGTGGATCTAAAAAACGAATCATAGTTTTTTTGAATATCTTAAATTATTCGACAAAGCCTACGTACGTACGTACGTACGTATTAGCAGCTGTATATATATATATGTAAATGAATGCAAACAAGTAAGGATTTATTACGTACGTACGTACTGTACTACACTACGTACGTACGTACGTATCGGTATTGTGCAATACCGTTCTTCATATGGAAATCGGTAATACATACTATTCAACATTTATGCTAATAAATAACGATGTTTTATTTGTTTGCATTACTTAATTTTCAAGACAATGTTAAAGCATGAGTATCTAATTTCATTCACGTTGACAATAAATTCATTGCTAAATGTTTATACATGAAAAATTAACGGGTCCTATTTTCAGGTACGATATTATTCCGTTGTTATTGTATCAAATCGACCTAATAATTCATTAATTATAATATATTTGCCATACACGGCTAGAATAAATTGATCCAAAACAAAAATTTAATATAGTAGATGTATTTAACCGATAATAAGTCCAAATATCGATACAAGATGTAACCAATAGATCATAAGAAAAGCTAATCACAAACCGTATTTATCATGACTTATGATAATACAGTCATGATTATCATAAGATCAAAAATACTTTCGGCCGGAAAGCACTACCTAACATCAAGTTATATAATGTTGCCTGAATTATGTCCATTTTGGATACGATTGATTAAAGTCAGTAAAAATATTACATGATCTACAAATTATGTATTGTCAATGCAGGATCAGAAAACAATACAGTCGTACAGTTAAAAAAACCAATAGCAATAGTGTAACGGATTGTTAATACTTATCCATACACTGTGAACAAATATTTTAATTGGCTATCTTCAACAAACGATAATAATGCAAACGTTCATTCCTCTTAGATCTTTCTATTTTCAATGTTTAATAAGTTTATAAATCCTTTTCATACGCATGCGATGTGCTTTATTGTGACACTGCAAGGAAGTGCATGGAGATAAAGTGATACGTGCGTACGTAGTCATAAATGGTAAAGGTTAATTTAATTATAGATCCCCCAGAATAAAAAAAAAATACAAAATAAATATCCGGGGGTGCATATCAGATTTT